ATTTGAGGGACCCATGAAGCTGGAGCGGTCCACTGGAGGCCAAATCCGTCCATTTGAGGGACCCATGAAACTGGAGCGTTCCACTTGAGGCTAAATCCGTCCATTTGAGGGACCCATGAAGTTGGAGCGGTCCATTGGAGGCCAAATCCGTCCATTTGAGGGACCCATGAACCTAGAGCGGTCCACTTGAGTCTAGATCTGTCCCTGGCTCGCTAAAGAGGACCGCATAGAGGACCGATGGAGAGGACCACTGGAAAGGACCGCGGAGAGGACTGCAGAGAGGGGCTTGCTACTTCCGTCCGTGGTTCGACGGAGGAAGTCAGAGCTCGCCGGATCTCGTCGAAGATGAAGGCCCACTTGTTGTCGATGAGGCTTGCCGGAGCAGAGGGAGCTTGATGGACGAACTGGAGCAATCACGGCCGCTGCCACGCCGGAGGAAGTTGGAGCTCGCTTCTTCCAGGCCAAGGTTCGCCAGAGTGGACAATTGCTAGTGGTATGGCTCGCCGCTAGGTCGATGCTAGAGGGGCTGTGGTTTGCCGCTGGATCCCGCCGGAGGTGAAGCACGCTTGAGGGCTCGCCGATCTGGGAGGATGCTCACCGACCCTGGTGGAGGGTACTGCCGGCGGCCCTGTCGCTTGCTCGCTGCTCGCCGGAAAAATCCCAGCGGTCCGCGGCTCGCTGGCGGTCTAGACTCTAGCTCGCTGCCGCTGCCTATAGCTCGCCGAAGGAAGGAGGAGGCTCGTTGGACCGGGTTGTGGACCGACGGAAGGAGTGGCTCGTCGGTGGAGGACCGACGGAAGGAGGGGCTCGCTGGAGAGGACCGGGAGTGGCTCACTAGAGTGTTGGATCGGCTCGCCTCAAGGAAGGGAGGCTCGCAAGTGGCTCGCCGGTGCTCGTGCTCGCCAAAGGCCTGTCAGTGCTTGTCGCCGGATCTGTGAAGAAGACCACTCCTCCCTTTCCTATTCTTTTCTCCTTCTCTGACTTTTCAATTTTTTTTTCTTTTTCTTGATTCTCACATCGTATCCCTCCTCCTTTTTTTTGTTTTTTTTACTTTCTCAATCCACTTTTTTTCTCTATTACGGACTCCGAGCACAAAAGCTTTTTGTGACGAGTCCCACGGATGGCGCCAGTGATGGAAACCGCTTTTTCGGGGCGTCGACCCGATGAAATCGGTACCGGGTCGGCACCGCACCGAATAGCGAAATCCGGAAATTAAGTAAATAAATAAAGCGGAGAGAAAATATTTATACGTGGAAACCCAAATCGGGAGAAAACCACGGGCCTTTTTAGGCGGTGCCATGCCAAAGGGGGAGGAACTTTTATTAATCTCATGGGAGTTTACATATACATCATTGTAGGAACTTGGAGTCATTAATGGAGCTCCAAGCTAAAAGAAGAAGAAGAATGAAGAATATAGTAGTAGGAACTTGTAGGAATCTAGCCTTGGCCTCCCCCCTTCCGTCCTGCGTAGCCTTGTATTTAAAGGGGAGTACATGCATGCATCCCCAACAATGCCATGAGGTGGCCATGTCACCTCCATGTGCACATGTCTTGCATATGGGCTCCACGGAATATTTTTATATCACCTCAAATATATTCTTCTGTTCATATACCTCTGGTTCTGTCTTGAATAATTTATCTGATTTATATCTTGGGCCAGATAAAATTGGGCTTTCTTGCACTGTTCAAATAATATTGGATTAGGAAAAATCCCTAATCCATCAAGTGACACTCCAAAGTCAAAATTAACTTATGAATGTGTTCGCGTCGGGGTGGAATGGGGGGAGGGGTTTACCTGGGGCCAAAAGGGGTAGGAACCGTTAATTTTACGAACGGGGCACCGCAATGCCTCCAGATCATTCCATAACATTACAAGACAGTGATCTGGAGGCACCACAACGTCTTCGAGATCATTCCACAAAATTGTGTTTAATGTTGCTACATCAACATCATTTCAAAACTTAAATCTCATAAACTTTTATAAACCTACTTGTATAACAATAAACCTAGAACACTGATGCTAATAAAATATTTCCATTTAATTAAAATAAATTGAGGGTACCAGATCTGGAGGCACCACAACCCAATAGAGTTCTTATCAGAAATTGAGGGTACCCCTGAATATATTTCACATAATGTGGGAATTGAGAGTCATTACCAGAATATCAAGGGTATCCTGGAGGACTAAATATGAAAAAGCACTTGCAATTGTAGTTAAAACCATTTATGAAATTTACTCTAATAATAACAATAACAATAGTAATAGTAATAGTAATAGCATGATACGGACGCGAACCCGGGCGAGCGCGTCGACGAGACAATTGCAACACGACGTTCGAGGAGGAACGCGAGACCGCCGAGCAAATACCAAGATTATGTTTAATTCTTTTTTAATATTTATTATGTACGTAGATTTTCTTTAGGTGGACGAATTATAAGTCCCTTCAAGGGTTTTCTTTTCGGTTCTTTCCTTTGACGCCTTTTTTGAACCGACAGGGTAGACAACTAGTTCTAGTAGGATTGGGGAACTCATATTATTTAAGGTGGAGGTTTACTTCCCTTACAATATCAGAATACAACTAAGTTATCCCTCTCCTAAAACTCTTTCTCTCTCTACCCTCCTTCAACCCACGTCTCATCTCCTCCTTCTTCCCCACGCCGTACACGGTTGTTCCGCCCAAGGTACACAAACCAATCTTTGTGTATCAATTGGTGCTTTCATTGTTTACTCATGACGACTCCAACACCAACGCCGGATTCCGCTTCACCCGCTATTACTCTTGAGGATCTCATGCACGCCATCATGGACGTCCGCAAGGACTTGCATGCGACCAATCTTTGGGTTGCCGAGATCACCTCCCAACCACACAAGGAGGCTCGATTTCCCCACAGGCCGCCAAGCACAAGCTTAAGGCCGCCGCCATCTCGCTACTCCAACTCCGTGCCTGATTCGGTACCATGTATGCGGGTAGACGCCCCACGTTTCTCCGGTGACGATCCAACCGCCTGGCTATTCCGTATACAAAAGTACTTCGATTACTTTTTAACACCGGAGCCCGAGCGACTTCAACTAGTGGCCATGCTCATCGATCACTCGGCGTCTGAGTGGTTTCATTACTATCAAGCAAATAATTGCACAACCACGTGAGAGGATTTTCTCTTGGTCGTCCAGCAACGCTTTGATCCCGACTACTATGAAAATTACGTAGGGTTGCTGTCCAAACTTACCCAAACGACAACGGTCATGGAATACCAATCTGCCTTTGAGGCCATTCTGAACAAGGTCTCCGGGGTACCAGAACCAACCCTCGTGTCCATGTTCGTGGCTGGTTTGAAACGGCCGTTACAACGCGAGGTTAATCTTCGTAGTCCCCGATCTCTGCCGGCTGCCTTTGCCCTTGCCCCCGCAGGGTCCTCCTCCTCTTCACGCCGCGAAAGGGCGTCAGCCACGCGGTTCGTCGTACCGCTTTTATACTCAATCTGGAACTTATAACCCATCAACTTGCGGATATAGAATTGTTGCTCGGGCGTCTGTATGACCTGTGAGAGGAGCTCTTTCAAACTGCGTTGGTCACTTCTAATCACAAACTCACGCCCCAGGAGGTATTGACGCCACTTTTGGACGGCCTCGACGATGGCGTACAACTCTTTGTGACGTATGCACGGCCTATCCCCTCCCTCCTACTGGACATACAACAGGAGAATGAAACTTCGCCAGAACTCCGGGACCTCCACGACGCCGTACTGTCAGGGGCTGCCTCGCCAGATTACACCGTCCACGACGGCGTTCTCTACTTCAAACGGCGTCTGTACATCGTCGCTGATTCCCCCCTGCGTCCCCAGCTGCTGCTCGAATTCCATAGCACGCCACTCTCGGGTCATCAAGGCGTTGAGCGTACATTCCAATGATTGGCCGATGTTTTCTTCTAGAGGAATATGCGACGAGACGTTTGCCTCTTTGTGGGGTCGTGCAATGTCTGTCAAGTGACCAAATACTCCACGCAGAAGCCGGGGGGGCTGCTTCAACCGCTACCAGTGCCCGACCGCGTGTGGGAGTCTGCCTCCATGGACTTTGTTACGGGCTTACCCCCCTCACGTGGCTTCACGGTGATAATGGTCGTCGTCGATCGGCTATCCAAGTACATTTTGGGGCCCTAAGTGCCGGCTACGATTCCCCGAAAGTTGCTCAGCTATTTCTCGAGGTCGTAGTCAAACATCATGGGTTCCCTGTGGACATCATTTCCGACCGAGATTCCATTTTTATGAGCCTCTTTTGGCACGAGCTCATGCGTTTAAGTGGCACCACATTGAAGTATAGCACGGCCTACCACCCGCAGACAGATGGGCAGACAGAAGTAGCCAACCGCAGTTTGGAACAATATCTTCGAGCATTCACCCACGAACGGAAACACCGTTGGTCATTGTTTCTCGCATGGGCCGAATTGGCCTTGAATTGCTCTCACCATGACGCCATCGGCATGTCCCTGTTTCAAGCATTGTATGGCCGGCCACCGCCTTCCATGTTCCCCACGTTGGCCGTTCGCGCTCGCACACCGGCAATTGAGGTGGACGAATTATAAGTCCCTTCAATGGTTTTCTTTTAGGTTCTTTCCCTTGACGCCTTTTTTGAACCGACACGGTAGACAACTAGTTCTGGTAGGATTGGGGAACTCATATTATTTAAGATGGAGGTTTACTTCCCTTAGAATATCAGAATACAACTAAGTTATCCCTCTCCTAAAACTCTTTCTCTCTCTACCCTCCTTTAACCCACGTCTCATCTCCTCCTTCTTCCCCACGCCGTACACGGCTGTTCCGCCCAAGGTACACAAACCAATCTTTGTGTATCATAACATCTCTCTAGCCATAGCACGAGGGTGCCCGATGAAGAAGACGGTTGCTAACAAGACGACTCATCCGATAGAGACTTGGGAAATCGAAAGATAAAACCATCTCCGAAGGTGCGTCATGAAATCCTTCAAATCATATCTCCAAAGGTTCCGAATCTAAAGCTCTTCAAAATATCTGGAATCTGATAAGGGTGGTTGTAATGGTAAACCTACAAAATTATGTTTAATGTTGCTACATCAACATCATTTCAAAAGTTAAATCTCATAAACTTTTATAAACCTACTTGTATAACAATAAACCTATAACACTGATGCTAATAAAATATTTCCATTTAATTAAAATAAATTACGGAGCATTGATCAAATAAATCAGAATATTTTTATCTTTAATTAAATTAAACAAAATCTATATAGATATTTGTAATCTCAAAAAAAAACAAGAGATGAGGACATGTGGGGATCAATCAGTCCATAAAGTTAAGTGGTGAAGTTTTCCAAGGAAGATGTGGTTGAAATAAAAGAACACTGTGTAACTCTTCTCTGATATGTTGTGTGATTGGAGCGAATCTACTACCATTTGAGGCAATAATGGAGGGGTTTATTACTCTACAATAAGGAAATCATACATCCTCATTGATGAAGTCTCTCTTCTTTAGTTGGGGCAGTATAGTTAGTCCATTTCAATAATGAGGAGGAAAGAGATGAAGTAATAAAGAGACAATACTGCTATATATTTTGATTCTAAACCTATGTTAGTCCAGAAATGGAAGCCAAAGATAAAGATGGATCTTTACATAATTGAAAGATATATATCCCTATATGGATTCAATTTTCAGAACTAGATATAAAGTATTGGAGTTTGACTGGCTTAAGCAAACTGGGGAGTTTGGATTGCTTGGTGAACGAATCTAATAGGGTTATGTTACATATTATGGATGCTTCTGATTAACTTGGGATGAAGAGGAGGATTAAGAAAATTGTATGAACTCTTGTGGGTAATACGAAACTGAAGTGTTGATTTATTGTGTTGGAAACTTCTTATAATTAGCTCTCTCCGTTGAGCGGGTTCTTCAAACTTGGCTCATCAGTTAATTAGTGGAGGCCATAAATCATCCCAACATTCACGATGCTGGTTTTTCATAAACAATAACTCTCCCTAGTTTTCAAGTTTTCTTCAATTATTCCAACTCCATAATAAGCGCATCAACAAGCTTTAACAAATAGGAGCACACACCTGATGATGAGGTCTTTCTTCCTCTTCAGACAGAGGTCGTTCCGTGATCGGCTTTGCTAGAGATGCAGCAAATGATGGTATTAATTTTTCCATTGTCTTAGAATATAATTGATTCATAATCAGCACCACCCGGCCTCTAGGGTGCAACTCTATTACCACCCGAGAAAGGAAGCCTTTTATGTGGTTCTCAGTTGTGCTCCCTCATCAAAGAAACTGATATCCTCCCTCGAATTCATATTTGGAAGGCAAAGTTGAAACAACCCGAGAAAGGAAGATTTCTTTGACACCATGGAGGGGATGATATTTGGAAGGCAAGTTGAAACAACCACAGCCTCCCTCGAATAGCTTCTTGTGTAGCTGATATGTCGTCTCTCAGCTCAGAACTCAGACCAATTTAAAGTTTGGACATTTCAATTTTTTTGGTCAACATTCAGATAAGCTCCCATCTAACTTATGATTGCCAACTTGATTATTTCCATTGGATCTTTAACTAATTTGCTTGAACTGCATCGGCAATAGGTTCACTCAAAGGTTTGGAAGCTTAACAGTTACTGCATCAATGATATATTAGCCTCAGCAATCACACTTGTGTTGTTCGATCGGCAAGATGTGGAGATATTCCTTAGCCTTCTGGATCTGCATATTTCAAGACTAATTAGTCATAAAACTACTATCATACAATTTTTTTCTATTACTTTGCATTTTTAAAAATTTCAAGCTGCTTGCATCTGTAGATCCCAAACAGGCAAACACCTCTAACTTTACCAACCATGAGAATGTAATAGGACTTATTAATACTACCATATATGAGTTTAGTAGATCATTTCCCTAGTAATTAGTGAATCCTAAGAGGGCACTTACTTCTGAATAGGCAAGGCTTAGCTTGATGCTGAAAAGTAAATTCATAGAGTTCACTTACCTACTCATAATCCCTTCAAAACGCTAAAGCTACGAGCACAATTCTGTAATTAGAGTTAAATGACTTCCTGTTAGTTTGGAAGACTAAACAACACCGTTGGACACATTAATCAACTAAGCTATCAAAAATGACCTCCTCCGTCCAAGAAGTTTCTTCCTAGTTTGACCCACAACCCAAGAGAACCTTGGTTTGACCCAACATGTAAAATAATGAGAGATGAAATATTAACTTTCTATATTTATCTTTGGATATATATATATATTCCTCAAAAGATAGGACGCAGCTAAAAAACACAGTTACACATGCTACAATAGATTTTTTTCACGAAAACACTGCTCAAAATATGTGGGAAAAAACTTTTGTATTTAGTTTTAACATTTCAAAAAAACAATGTAAAGACAGAAATCAGCTTGAACACAACATCTTCAAAACAAATCTAGGGTTGGAAGAGAGCCATATATCCCCATCTTACTTCTCTCCTTGGTGCAGAGATCGACGGACCAGAAATGCCGATGCCAAAATCAAGAGGGGCACGAGGAGGAACTGCAAAGCCTTGATCACGAAATCCGGGTTCTTGTAGTGGGAGTTAATGCCGTCTTGAGCTTGGGGACGGCGTGGGCTGCCCGTGTAGAGGCGCTTTGACGGAACAGTGGACATGTAGTCTATCTCCCCAATGTAATACTTGCCCATCATGTTTCGAGCATCCTCGCTGTGCCCGACCTGCTCAAAGTTTTTGCTCGCATCCTTCCCTGTTAGTTCATCCAATCCGTGATCCGTCAATGGAATATATATTGACATATGGTTGTTGTAATAACATCATTTAGTGCAATTGAAAAATATAATTGGACAATGCATAGAAAATTATTTGCTTAAAAAAATGCTATTTTTAGTTAAGGGAATGAGCAAGAGTAATTAAGCTATACATGACACTGCCAAACAGAGCCTAAACATCACTACTTACGAGTTGTTGCAAGCAAAACCTCGCTCCCCGCATGATCTTCCATGAATGGACTCACATCATACACCTAAACAAACAAACAAACAAACTGTGAAAATCAGTATAGCTAAACAAAAGCATAGATTTCTCACATAAGATCGAGTAAAGACAAAAGAAAATTTGGTGGTAATTAAAGCTGTGTTTGGTGAAACTGAAATTAAATGTCAGATTTCAATTCAAAAACTAGGTTTGATTGAGTTTGGGAATTCAAAAAGGTTTTGAATTTGGATTAGAAAAACAAGAATTCAATTCATTAAAGACGAAAAGAGTAGTGAAGAAAACCTTTCCATGGATGATAACCCAGCAATCATTGGTCTGGTCGTGTTTGGCTACTTCTTCAAACCCATAAACTTTCTTTGGATCCGAACCCATTTCCAAACCTAAGTCCTAACCACACAGTAGTTATATAAATTATTGGGTATATATATATATATATTTCATGTTAAGGGAATGAGCAAGAGTAATTAAGCTATACATGATACTGCCAAATAGAGCCTAAACATCACTACTTTTCCTTTTTATCAATTCCAAACTTAACTTCTCTTCTTTCTTGGGTTAAATAAGCTTTGTCATGTAAAACTAATAAATTTTTTTCCTTTTAAAAAAAATTATTCTTGTAAAATTTCATTGTTTCCAAAAACAAAGATCCTCCTCCAAATTTAGAGCTTAAACAATCTGTGTTTTTATCCCACTAAAATTTGCAACTATTATTTTTAGTCCCTCTAAAGTAATTTGATAAAGAAATATTTGTACTAAATAGTACAAAAATTTAAGTCATTTCCCTAAATAGCACTTAAATTATTTTATAATGTCCAGTGATGACGAATATTTACTTGAATAATGACTAATGCATAGTGATTAAAAGTGTTACATTTGAAAAAAAAATTACATGTGGTGCTATTTAGGGAAAGTCATTATATTTTAGTGTTTTTTAAGTAAATTTCCCTTTAATAAATTTATGCTTTTTTTATTTTTGTAAATGATCCAATCTAAAAGTTTCGCCATAACATTGAATATAATAAACATTGGTGTGTATCAAAGTTAAAATTTATAAATATGCCCTCTTTGTCTTGTAATTAAAATATAGAAGCATGAGCTGCTTACATGTTCCAATCACTATCTTTGAGGTAGTACATTCTTCATTCTTGTGTAAAACAAGTTTTGCTAATGAACTGAATAATTAAACATGTATCTTAATTTAAGACGTTGAGAAACGGAGATAAGATTGCAGTTAACATTGGGAAGAAGCAAAACATTTTTCCAAAAAATAGAGTTAATCGGCCAAACACTCCCTTTTGATTTGACGTGGCATTTTCTGCATTGGCTAGGCCAACTAAACCAACGTTGATTTGTTTTATGTTCTTCAAGGCTTGTTCTACTATCGTCTATAATTCAAAAAGTAATCGAGTTCCTAGAGAATTTGTTTTCAAGAGACATTTCTTTCTCTTTCAACATTCCTATCAGAGTCTTCCATTGATTAGAAGTAAATGGCTCCCGTTCGCCACTTGATTCGATCTCCCATTTTTACTATGAAGGCCGTGTGACCACTGGAGCCACTACCACCGCTAGAACCATTGATGCTGTTCGTGCGGTTTCCACAGTTTCTCCTCGACCTCCTTGTCATCCACTATGACCTATTCCACCATCCCCTCCTCCTCGATTAATGCTTTGAGCCCGAGGTTTATCACCCCACCATTCAGAATAGCCTACGAGTTGTGAACACCCATTGATCTCATGTCTTGTTCTCTCGCAGTGTTTGTACTTTATATTTTTGTAAGTGACTGTGAAACTAATCAGATTTTTATCTTCTTCCTGAGTGATTTTTAGCACCTCTTCTTGTTGAGTAATCGTGGAGTAGACACGATTAAGGGGTGCCAAAGGTTCCACACTCAAGATGTTTGAACTCAAACCTCCATAGCCTTCATTATCCATCCCTATCAAAAATTGGTATACCTTTGTATTCTCCTTCTATTGTTCAAAAATTTTGGTGATTCCGTACTTGCACCGTGACGCTTACATACCAGATTCTTTTCAATGTTACTCAATTCATCCCATATATTCCCTCCGTTTGCAAAAAAGCTTCCTATTTTGACTTGGAGCCAAAATAAGGAAGTGTACAATTATAGTTGACTTCCAATTTTGCCCCTAATATGATGGGTAAAAGTAAGATCTGATGAATTATTGATTATTAGAAAAAAAGTATGATGTGATAGGTAAGGTATGAAAAAGTAAAGGTAAAAGTGGTTTTTTAATAGAAAGTGGAAGTGTTTTGTTGGAAGTGGAAAAAATGAAAGAGGAAGTGTTTTTGAGAACGTAGGGAGTATTTTTTTATTCTAGAAAAATATGAGACAAGTGATTGTCCGTTCTATTTGTAATTTGTCAATTCTCTCTTCAGCTGATTCGCTCATGGTCTATTCGCCATGGAGAATCGATCTTGGATGTACCCCTGGAGCTCGAGGCCAAAAATGTGATGGTACCCTTGGAGCTCAAGCCCAAAACTAAAAAATAATAATTTAGATATTATTGGCAAGCTTTTTTGATATAAAAGTTTTACAAAGGATTTGACATGCAAATAGAAGCATCCATGTCAAACTTTGTAACTTTTTTGATAGATTTCAAATTTGGCGAGAAAATCTCATAGGTAGGGGGAATGACAATAAAGAAGTAAAATATCATAATGGCCAGCTAAAAGAATTGATCGAATGAAATAATAATCCAGCCAATTGGCATATATGCAGTTAATTAAACGTTGTACAAATGATTAGGCAAGCGAGGTGTTGCGACGGCTAGAAGTGGATTCTCCATGAAAAAGTCTTGTTTACATTCAGTTAGAGATACAGGAAGGGGAGCGGTCCAGGTGAAGGCTTGGAGAAGACGAGCGAAGAGCATTGTCGTTATGACCGTACCTAACCTCACACCAACGCAGCCCCGTCTCCCCGTACCGAACGACAGTATCCTACACTCTGGATCCACCAACTTGACCATTTCTTCTTCTCCATCATCATTATGATCATTACCATTATTCACCAGGTGTCTTTCGGGCATGAACTTGAGCGGGTCTTCGAAGACCCTTGGATTCCGACCAAGCCCGTAACGGCTCACAAGGATCACGCTCCCTTTGGGGATGAAATAGCCCCCCACCACCGCATAGCTCGTGGAAGCGTGGGGGACGTTGAAGGGGGCAATGGGGTGGAGTCGGAATGCCTCCCTTATGCACGCCTTCACGTAGTTCAGGCGAGGCAGATCCGACTCCTCCACCAGCCTCTCCCTCCCCACCACCCTGTCCAACTCTTCTCTCGCTTTTTCTAGCATTTCACCACGGCCGTTCATTAGCATCTCCGCCAGCGCCCACTCGAAAGCGTTTGATGGGTTGTCCATTGTTGCTATCATCATTTCCTGCATGCATGCATGATTAATGAAAAATGACTAAAAGTGCTATATTGGAGGAAAAACGCATGTAATGCTATTTAGAGAAAGTAATTATGTTTTAATAGTGCTATTTACGTAAATTCCCTATATCAAATTCAATGTCGCCTCTCAAGGTAACCGAACTAACCCATCAACTCAATCAAAAGCTCAAATTTATTATGATCAAATATAAGTGCAAGAAAAGTACATGCATGTACTAATTGAGTGCTTTGGGTATGTATGTACTTACGAAAATCAGGTCTTTTATCTCGTGGTGGGTGAGCAGTGGCGATCCATCGACCTCGTCCACGAGGGTGATTAAAACGTCAGCCATGTCTTCTTTCACCGTCCTGTTGCCGTTCTTCCACATGAGAATCCTCTCGTCGATTTCGGGGTGGATGTACTTTCTCGCCGTGTGGACGGCTTTCGTTAGGATGCTAATGTGACCGTCGATGTCCAACGGGGCGAGCCATGGGATGTAGTCCGCAATGCCGAAGGCGAAGGTGTATTTGAGGAGGGTGAAGAATGCCTCCACATGCTCTTCTTCTTGCGGTCCCCATAAGTTGTCGTTGTCGTTGTTGACGTCGTTATTAAACGATCTCTTCCCAAGGGTCAGCCTCCGAATGACATTCCCACAGTACTGCCGCGCCACGGCCCTCACGTTCACGGGCGATCCGGAGGTGGTGTGGTAGTGGTGGTAGAGGAAGCGGATGAGATGGTTGGCTTCGTCCGCGCGCTTGTCGTGGAGCCAGTCGTGGGTGGCGGGCGAGAGCACGTGGGAAGCCAGAATTCGTCTCATCCGCTTCCAGTTGGCGTGCGGCGGCATGGAGAACACGGTCTTGAACCCGCCCGTGGTGAGCTTTAGGGACGTGAAAGTGGGCCTTGATGAGAAACACTCGTCCTGTTTCCTCAAGAACTCTGTGGCGAGCTCCGGGGAGGTGACGGCGATGACGTGAGTGTTTCCCAGACGCACGCACGCCATCTCCGTCCCCATTTCACCCATCAGCTTCAGTATCCACCTCGACGGCGTCATCGTACCCCGCCGCCCTGCCTTCATCATCTCCAGCAGGCTTCCTACCACTGGCCACCCTTTGGGGCCCGGAGGCAGCGGTGGCCGTTCCCGTCGTCCCCGCCGCGTTTTCCTCATCCTCAGGCAAGACAAGACGATGACGATGATGCTGGCCGTTATTACCAGTACTGGTATTGTTCCTGATGATGATGCCTTCATAGCTGATCGAAGATGGATGCATGAAGCGCTGTAGCAAGTCAAGCTAAGTACGTGCACCGTTACGTATATGTACAATTGTACAAGGTGATTTTGGGAAAAATGAATTTATTAGAGTCTAAAACTCTGTATGCACATATATGCATAGTGATTGAAAAAGAAAAGTACTCAGCACTAAATTAAAACATTACATTCATACCAAAAATACATTTATAAAGGGGTCACCAAACCTCCTCCTATTTTGAAAAGTTACAAATAAAACTCTTACTATTTTCGTTCCTCGATATTGAGTATTTGACCAAAAAAAGTCTAAAACTTAAGAGAATATGTTTTAATGCTCCCTCAATTATTTTCAAAATAAAATAACATATTCGCTCTAAATTCAAATAAAAAATTGCATTTATTAATTTTTCAAAAACAAAAGAATTTTTTTTAGAGGGCATTACAAAAGAAAAACAAATGGAAAAAGGTAATGAAAAAAGAAAAAAAAAATGTCCTTCTATTTTACTCGGTATTTTTATTCATCTTCCGATTCTTCATTGTTTTTAAAATCCCAAAATAATTATTTTCATACTGAAAAATAAATAAGTTTAAAATTTTAATTTGATATTTTTATTTTTTATTGTATATACTATATTTCTTTTTACTTGAATTAAAATAGTAGTTTTTAAAATCTTTTTCTTCTTTTTTAAAGGTTTTCTGTTATTTTTTAAAGTTTCACTCTTTTATTTTCTTTGGTAATAATCTCCAAAGAATCTTTAATTTTGTCTTTAAAAATGAACAAGTGAGAAAATTTTAATTTGAGATGGAAAGCGTATATCTTATTTTATTTATATGTATAAAAAAAGGTGAAAATAAAAGAGTGAAACTTCATAATAGAGATAAAGAAAGGACATAAATGTTATTTTCGCTTTTAAATATGTTAGAGAGGTGTGTGTTCATCATTTCGAAATCATAGAAATTTTACCGATAATTAACTTTTCCAAATATAAGGGGTTTTTGGTAACATACAATGACATTAATTACTGTTCTCTTGGTCCGGATTACAAATATTAATCGGATTACAAACATTAATTAACTAAAAGAACGTAGGAAGTTTTTTTTGATATGTTTGCACTAAATAGCACTAAAACTTACAAACTTACCTTTTTAACAATTTTCTAGAAATAAGATGCACTCAAATAATAAATGATGTTTTCATTTAAAATCCAGAAAAAACAAGTTTGTGAAGTTTGTGAACAAAATGTTTGTGACTCTAGCATTTTCCATTGTTTTATTCTCTAAATAACACTTAATACTGTTCAAATTGTTTAGTGAAGACAAACATTTACTTGAATAATGACTAATGAATAATGACTAAAAGTGCTACATATGCAAAAAAACACATGTGGTGCTATTTAAAAAAAGCCATTATGTTTTAATGTTATTTAGAGAACTGACTTAAGTTTTAGTGCTATTTAGTGCAAATATTTCTTATCTCATTCCGGTTTGTTATCTTCTACTTCAGTCGCATTACATAAAATTTTAATTTATCTTTGTGTTTTCCGTATTGTTCTAAGGTGAATACTGCAAAACTTTTTATGTAGCTTTTAAATATTATTTTTTCTCCATCCAATAAAACCTTTTAATTACTTTCTTATCTTACATGTCCGAGAAAATATTTTACGCCAATTACCTTTTGCGCCCTACTCATTTTAACAATTCCTGGGCTCTACTCGTTTAAATTATCGTCATTTCATCTTGTTCAAGCTTAGCTTCTACAACTTCCCATCCTAAAAGTTAAAACAAACAATATTTTGCAAGATTAATGAAGTACTCCCTTCGTTCCATAAAGATAGAGACGGTTTGACTAAAGTGGTTAAATAAGGAGGAGATATAATTTTGTATTGACTTTCCAAAAAATATTTTTGATGTGAAAAGTAGAATGCGATATATAGATTATTAAGAAAAAGATATGCTGTGATAGATAGGGTATGAAAAAGTAAGAGGTAAAAGTAATTTTTTAATAGAAATGAGAAGGACTTTTAGGGACACGAATTTTTTGAAACGTGAAGGATTTTGTGGGACGAAGGAAATATATAATTAAGTTGTATTTTATTTTAAGCTCTACACTAATATTTAGATCAATTCTGTAAAAAGATTTGTTCACACATGACATCGTAAATCGAAATGAGACATACTTTCTCCGTCCTAAAATAATTGCAACGTTTGCTTTTTCAGCAGTTGCGGGAACTTTTGTTTATTTCTACATTTTCAATAGTTATTTGATAAAATAAAATATTCTTTACACCTCTTATTTCGAAGAACTTTTCATATAGTTTTTTGATATGTAAATTTTATTTTTTATTTCTATACCAATACGTAAATAAAATGATTTGAAAAAACTTAATATTTTGCCTCGGGAATGCAAGTGTGGCAAATATTTAGGGACGGAGGAAGTATATAAATAACATGACAACTGGAGCATTACCTAAATTTTTGCATTTCAAAATCTCTACGCGCATTTTATACGTAGTAATATACTCCATCCGTCCCATAAAACCTTTCTCCTTTCTTTTTTTATCCGTCCCACAAAACACTTCTCATTTATATTAAAAAGTCACTTTTACCCCTTACTTTTTCATACTCTAACTATCACATCATACCTTTTTACTAATAATCTATCCATCAAATCATACTTTTACCCATCACATCAAAGGACATTTTTGGAAATTCAATACCAAAATACACTATCCTTAAATCTCTCCTAAAAAGCAAAACTCACATGTTTCACGGAACGGAGGGAGTAATACGGATGAATGGCTCTAGTATGTACTACGTAGTATCCTACCTAGCCTTATGCGATTTGGAAAATAGATACTCCATCCCTGCTCAAACACTCTTCCTCTTTCATTTTTTTACTTCCAACAAAATACTTTCACTTTCTATTAAAAAACCACTTTCATCCTTACTTTTTCATACCATACCTATCACATCATACTTTTTCTCTAATACTCAATCCATCACATCAAGAGCAAAATTTGAAGTCAACTACAATTTAACACTTCCTTATTTTTACACAAAGTCAAAATAGAAACACTTTTATAAAACGGAGAGAGTACTAAATATAGAAAAGATGTGTGATCAATAACCAATATTTATCAACACTAATATTAATTTTATAAGATAAATCAATAACGAACAAAGTATTTATTCTAATATTAATTTTAAACATTACGATAATTATTTAATTAACGATAAAAGTAAGTCAAGTTTGACAACAAAAAATCAAAACCGGACTGCTTCAACATTTCTGTCGGCTTCTTTTGCAAGGGAAAAGAGATTTAACAACAACTAAGCTTATACTTATTCCCTCCTTAGAATGGTTTCCCTTATTGACTTTTTAGCAAATTAAGAAAGAAATATTTTTTTTAACTTTTTAAAAATATCCTTGATATATAAAATTGATTTTTTATTCGATAAAGGAAACATCTTTTGGGGACAACAAAAAAATGAAAGGGAAAAATCTTTGAAGGACTTCGAGGAAGTAAGAAATTAAGGAATTGAAGCAAATTAATAAGATGATTATTAATTAAATAATTATTGTTTGGAGGAGTATGGCAGCTTAGCAATCAAGCAAAGATCGTTCTTCCGGGTTGCCTTTAATCCAGCGGTCTCGCTCATGTCGAAGTTCTCGGGAGTGACTCCACGTGGCAGTTCCCAGTCGAAGTGGTACAGTAAAACAGCCAAAGAGTGCATCACATTAGCCAACCCAAACGCCAACCCGGGACACATTCTTCTCCCCACGCCAAAAGGTATCAACTCAAAGTGGCTCCCGTGCACGTCCGCGTCGTGGTACGCGAACCTCTCGGGCCAAAAACAGTCCGGGAATGTCCACGTGTCCGGGTCCCGCCCGATTGCCCACGCGTTGACGATGACTCGAGTCTTCGCAGGTATCACGAACCCCTCAATCTCCCTTTCTTCTATGCTTTCCCTCGGGAGCAAGAGCGGGATTGGTGGGTGCAGCCTCAGGGTTTCTTTCACCACCAGCTTCAGGTATGCCAACTCCTCCATGTCGTCGTCTTCGAATGTCGTCTTTCCCTTTAGCTTCTCTCTAACTTCCTCTTGTGCCTTCACGAGAACGTTTGGATGCCTCATCATTTCAGCTATTGCCCAAGTCGCCGCCGTCGCAGTGGTTTCCGTCCCTGCTGAGAATAGGTCCTGCATGCATGCATGCATGTACGTGTTATGCATATGCTGATAAATATAAAAAACTGAAAGAAGTTGGAAGAAAAAAAAAGTTACGCTGATCACGTACATTGATGATAGCTTTAATGTTGTCCCGTGTCAAACGATATTGACGTCCTTCCTCGTCTTCCTTTAATTTGAGCAAAACATCGACAATGTCTTCCTCCCCAGCTTCATTGTTGCCCTTGCATCCATCTCTAAGCAGGTTCCGCTCGTGTTTTTCGATGATGCTCTCGTAGCATTTGTCCAACTCGCGGTGCAGTTTTAGGAGCGTCGATCTCGTCCCTACAACGTAAGGGATCCATTTTCTGGAGGGAAACATGTCCACCAATTCAAAGCCACCCGCGAACGTGAGCACCTCCCTCATCATCCCGATGAACTTCTCCTGATCTCCATCGATCAATGTCCCGAACGCGGACCTACAAGTCATCGCGCTGTTAAACCAAATCACCTTCTCAAATAGGTTGACAGGATGAGAAGACGACGACGAAGACGACACGTGATGTTTTATAGACGAGACCATCTTCTGGAGCTCGTCGCGCCGGATGGCGTTGAACGACTTCACCATCTTCCTGGTGAGCATCTCCAAGATGCACACCCTACGCATCTGCCTCCAGTATTCCGCGTACGGGGAGAACGCAATGTCCGTGGATTTGTAGTAGACCAAATCCACAACCATGAGTTTCGGTCTGTTCGCAAACGCGAGGTCGTGGGTTTTGGTGATGACTTTCGCCATCTCGAGGCTCGACGCAACGACAGCGGGCACCTCGCCGAGCTGCAGGTGCATCAAGGGCCCGTATTTCCTCGAGAGTCTCGTGAGGGAGCGGTGTGGGAGGTCGCCTAGTAGTAGCACATGGTGTAAGCTTCCAATGAGTGGCAGCTTCCATGGGCCTGGGGGTTGTCGTACCTGCTTTTGTTTCTTCTCTTTCTTGAGTTTTGCTACCACTAGTGGGAGGGAAGAAGATGCAAACGACATGATGAAGAGAATAATGCCACCAATTATTAGGACATAATTACTGGGGATGATGATGAGTTCCATGATAATTTGATATGATTGATCTTTTTAATGAATGATATTAGACCAATGCATGCAGGCTCTATTTATATAACGCCCAAATCAAAGTCCGAATTCAATCGGTGCACTCTTGAATGCATCCATGCATATTCAATTCATTGAATGATCTATCGAAGACCTTTTAATAATATATAAAAGGTATATATATGAAAATACTACCTAAATACTCCTTTCCCTTCCATAATTATTTATCTTTAATTGGTTTATTTGATCATTTTTATTCGTGTAAATGAATGAAAAATGATAAGCATGGTAGGTACGCCAACCCACTTTTTCTTTCAAAGGAAGGTTTATACCCCAATTTGTACCCCACATTTTTGTATGTGTACCCCAAGGTTTATATCCCAATTTGTATTTGCACCAACACTTTGTGTTAGTGTAAAACTAATTTTTGTTAAACGCACCAACATTTGTGTCCGTATGAATTTTTATTAACGCAGCAACACTTGTGTCGGTGTAAACCATCGAAATGTTTGTGCAAACCTGTGGTGTACAAATGGGGTATATTTTTTGGTGTAAGTGTAGCATGGTCCTTGAAATAATTCACGAATTTTAAAAAGGTATAAAGATAATTATTACTCTCTTCGTGCTAAAATGATTTTTCCATTCACAATTAAATAACCTTAATCACTTTCTTTACTTATTTTTTGTTAGTTATTTGATAAAATGATATAGTCTTGTCACTTTTTATTCTATAGGGTAGAACTTTTGATGTACTTTTAAAATATATTCCATCCGTTCTAAAAAACACTTTCTCTTTCATTTTTTTACTTCTAACAAAACACTTCCACTTTCTATTAAAAAATCACTTTTATCCTTACTTTTTCATACTCTACCTATCACATCATACCCTACGAGTTCTTTAAAAATACCGAACTGTCACGGACCTATCCCTAAAAATAAGATGTGAGAAGTTTTAATTTTGAATCACCGCAGAGGCGAGATGGAAGATTCTTCTATCAGCAGTGGCGGAGCTAGGAGGTCACAATTGGGGGCACACCTCGGGGGTCCGGGGGCAGCGCCCCCGTTTTTTTTATAATAAAACAACATAAAATGATTTAAAAAATTTATTTCAAAGAATCAAATTATTCACAAAAAATGTAACAATAAATGTTATTATTATGATTATACAAAATGTTAGTTCTTTTTCAAAATAACAATTTGGTTAATTAATTATTTATTACTAAGTACTGTAACAAATTTGTTCGAAATTATATGGAGTAATTCTTATAATAAAATAACAACAATAATAATAACCCAATTAGATTAGAGGTGTATTTACTTAGACCTTTATTAATAAAATAAAAATATTATTAATTGAACACAAAACAAAGTAATTGAATATTTAATAGACTTAAATAAAAAGTCATTATTGGGGAAGATGGGTTTCCCCTTTTTTAAAGACTTCTCGATTTGGGTAATTGCCCCTAATTGGGTTTACCTTTTGTTTTAAAGTGTAGTCGTGTAGATCAAAAAAAAGGAATGGGTACTGTTTGCAGTGTTTGGTCAAAGTCCTAGACTCCTAGGCATTTAAAAAAAACCTACAACCTAGGCATTAAAAAAAGTTACGACGTCGTTTCCCTTCCTTTTTTTTCCCGTAAAATGCTTCTTCTTCGCAGAGCACAGCCGCCACACAGCGCCCTGCTTGTTGCCGGAAAAAATTGGGGGGGCACATCAAGCCTACCATCGGAGAAGGGGTACCCTAATAGCACTTCGCCGGAAATTTGCCGGGGGCACTTGCCCAGGCAGCCCCCCTCTCCTCCGCCCCTGTCTATCAGTATATGAACTTCTAGCCCATTTGATTATCTCTTAAGTCGAATGAATCAATTATAGATGTCTCACTTGCAATGACTTTGTGGAAGCGGGAAATCTACTGATAGCCTGAGGTAATTGAAGAGTAATTTATCTAAATAGGACTAAAACATAATGACTTTCCCAAAATAGGACATATGTTTTTATTTCCGAATGTAGGACCTTTGGTCATTATTCTTTAGTCATTATTCAAGTAATGTCTATCATTGCTGGGCATTATTCCTTCCACGAAGACATTATTAAGTCCTATTTAGGGAATAAAAAAGTTTAAGTCCTAAATTAGGAAAGTCATTATGTTTTGGTCCTATTTAGTGCAAATTTCTTTAATTGGAAACATGATGATGCATAAGGGTGCAATCAGTAAAATCAATAAAATGATGATCAATAATCAACATGCATGTATGTTTTAACACTTAAAACTCAAATTACAAAGTAGTACTACCTCCGTTTCTCAAAAGAGTTCCTTTTTTGACTTTGGGAGAAAATAAGGAAGTGTTAAATTGTAGTTGACTTTCCAATTTTGCCCTTGATGTGATGGGTAAAAGTAAGATGTGATAGTTTAGTTGTTAGTGAAAAAGTATGATGTGATAGGTAGGGTATGAAAAAGTAGGGGTAAAAGTGGTTTTTAATAGAAAGGGGAAGTGTTTTAAGAAAAACAAAAAAAATGAAAGAGGAAGGGTTTTAAGAAACGGAGGGAGTACGCAGTACTTGATAAAATTTAGAATGAAAGAAAAATTACTTGATTTGGTCATAAGACACTCGAGCGGAGCCATATTAAAAGATTGAATCTAATTGATTACTTACTAGTTTAACTCAAAATCTAATATAACGATTACTTTTCTCTTCAATTTTCGACGTGGGATAAACTCTAACACCCCATTCAAGTGAAGATCTAGGGCATTTTGAATTTAACCAGTTAAACACATGCAAATGAATTCTCGTTTCCTTATTTTTTTTTGCACCAACACCTAGAAGACCACGAGCTATTGGTATGAACTTCTAGACGTATAATGGAATTAAATAGACCACAAGCCGTTGGATATGCATTCCTCATGGACAATTGAGCCAAACACTAGAGCCGTTAGGAATGAATGAATGTGTAGACAGATATCTCGACACACAAGGTGTGTTAAAACTAGTTCTAAAGGATTACTCTCTCTATATTTAAAGGATTATACTCCCTGCGTCCACAAATAAACTTTACGTTGCGCGTTACGATGTTTGACTGAAGTTATTTTTAAATTATTTTATATGAAATAAAATGGTATAAAATTTTAAAATAAAACTATATCAAAAGATCTACAAAACTAGAGGTGACATGACTATATTAATTTATCAAATGGTAACGAAAATAGCCAACAAAGTGAATAAAATTTAACTCTGTGAATAGTAAACGTAAAGTTTATTTATGAACGGAGAGAGTATAATTTTATAATAACTCATTGTGCACATCAAACACGAAACGACCTTTCTTATGACCACGGTAAGATCTTCCTTCTCACTATACCTCGGGCGGGGTGAGGGGCGCCGGGTGGGCTTTCATGCTTTTTTTTAATGGGTTGGAGGAGTAGCATATTCTGACCTGCAGGCCCACTGATACGGCTTATCTTCCCAATAAAACTGTGTACGCCCATCTTCTTCGGTTTTTCCGTACTGCCAATTTTCCTTTTCTTTAATTAATTATTGCGTATTAAAAGAAAATATTATTCCGAGTGCGAGAAAATATCTTCCCCACCGCCATACTTTCTTATCCCTTCAAAGCTCCGTCGTCCCTCTCTTTGATCCCCGCCGAATCCTGATCATTCTACTCCGCCGTCGCCGCCGCCACATGCCAATTATTACGCAAGAAAACCTAGAATCGCCGCCGGAGCGACCGCCTAAGCCGAATTCGGTTTCGGCTCCAAGGAAGCTCCTTTTCGTTTTCCTCAAATGCGTCATCATGGCCTTCATACTCTCCCTCTTTCTCCTCTTCCTCGGCTTCGCCGCCGTCATCCTCGTCCACTTTCTCCTCACCACCACCGCCTTCCGCCGCAGACGCCGTCGTCGAGATCGCCCTTCTCCCCGAGCATCAGCCGAAGCATCTCCGACCCCGGATCCGATGGACCGCCTTCCCTGTCTCAGCTACACCTCTTCTGCCCATCTGCCCAAGGATTGTGCAATTTGTTTGGATAGCTTCAAGGAGGATGAACCGTGCAGGAAGCTGCCAGCTTGTGATCACATGTTCCATATGAAATGTGTGGATCATTGGCTGGGGAAAGTGCTCAATTGCCCAATTTGTCGGACCCGGGTCGAATTGGACTCCAGTGGTTCCAGTTTGAGCAATGAAGATTGGAAGACATGGTGGGTAGTTGGTGTTTGAACAGGGCAACCTAGAATTTTGGCATTTATATAGTCTTTTCTTTTTTCTTTGTAACTTATCTTTAAAATCTGTTCTCTTTTTCTATTTGTCTCTGTTTCTCTTCTTCTTCTTCTTTTTCTGATAGTAGTAGCTTTGTTTTTGGATGGGGACATGTTCATAATGTTCTGTTAAAGTTGACAAAACAAAGCCTTCATGATGTTCAGCACTGGCTGTGTTCCATTTTCAATTTCATGGTTATGTTGATGCCTAGTTTGGAGAAATTGAGAATCTTGGTGAAGAGTATTTATGTATATCTAGGCTGATGACATGTACTGTTTTTTCCCCTGTGTTATACTCCCTCCGTCCCAAATTATTTGTCACATTTCTATTACCGAGACAAAATATCAAGTTTTTTCAATTCATTTTATTTACATATTGATAAAGAAATAAAAAATAAAAATTACATATCAAAAAACTACATGAAAAGTTCTTCGAAATAAGAAGTGTCAAGAATATTTTATTTTATCAAATAACCAATGAAAATGTAGAAATAAACAAAAGTTCCCGTGACTGTTGAAATAGTAAATGTGGCAAATAATTTGGGACGGAGGGAGTAGCAGTTTATATTAGGAGTAATTGGTACTAGTATAATGTAACATCTGTAAGGAGTACTTGGTACTTGATGATCATGATTAGTCACCTGGAGAAGATGGAACAGTGCAATAGATTAGATTGACTGAAATATTTGTTCTTACATTATTAAATGGATAAAAGATTATGTATTTTGAATGTTCTAATGATCCCAAAGGTTGATTTGAGCCTGCTGATTGATTATCTCACTTGTAGAATCACACCCACCTTAAAAGGAAAAAAAAAGGAGGGTTTTTTAAATCTCTAATGCCAAAGAGTATGAAATATCAAGAATAGATGAACTTTCTTTGAGTAGGATTTGAATGGGTTTTGAAACTAAATCCAAAGCATAGCTGCTTCTTAGAACATATAGATATTTGCTGGCAGTAGTAAGTGCAGTATCCCGGATTTGATTAGGTGTACCATGTTGTTGTTTTCTCTGGATTTTTAACATTTGCTTCTTTGTTTCTCGGGGATGAATGGATTTGTTGTTATTGTTGTCGTTCATCTTAAAATCATCAGGTACAGAAATTAACAGAGATGAAGGGTGAATACAAGAGGAATGTGTCTCAGAAAAAAAAGGGGAGGAAAGTTTTTAATATGGAAAGCTATGAACTTATCTCTGTGTTTCATCAATCTTTATAACACATGTTGCTTGCCCCCCTTCCTGTTCTGAGACAACGATCACGATACCACAACACCCCCCCCCGAGATGTCTTGGTGCCACCCCCTCCGATAATTAGGGGGGATTACGAAACCACTCTGTGGTTTTAAGCATGCATTGGCATTGTGAAATTGGTATGAACTTTGCTTGCCTGTGAATGATGGTTCACCTTTAGGTTTTGCTGCATATGCCATTTCATTGAACACCCACATTATGGCATTATTCATCAGACAGATTTAAGTCCTCTTAGAAAGCAAAATTGAGGACAAAATTTTAGTCTATTATATTATCACCAACTCTGCTTATCCTCCTATATACAATGGTAAGAGGACCTTATGAATAGTGTTCCAACCATTTTCTCCTCCATCCTTTGGGCCGGGCTGAGCTGCTGTTATTGGGCCGATTTTACTCCTCTCCTGGGAATGCGGCTGACACTTTTACGGGGCTGCAGTCCAACTTTATTGGGTTGCGGTAGGCGGCTGTGCGTGGCTCCATAAAGTGAAATAATAATGCTTTATGTGGAAAATCTGTCAATTCAACTGTCTTGGGCAGCGTGTGCACGGGATTTCTTAAAGCAATCTCTACTTTATTACTTTATGTCTCATCCAACATTAAATTTTTAGATTGGAGAAATCTTTAAAGGCATTGGACATTTAATGCAGTAAGTGTGTGGTTGCTGTATTAAGTATATTTTCAAATCCTAATCAGAAAAAGTAGACCTATTTATTTAAAGATTGTACAAATCTTCTTTTGCATTTATGTCAAATCTCACTAATGACCGTGTAGGGTTGAAAGGACCAATAAAAGAGAATTATTAAAAGAGAATTACACAGCATTATGTCAAATCTCACAAATCTTCTTTCTACATAGCATTATTAAAAGAGAATTACACAATATTTTGAAACCCGTAAAAAAAAGAAAAAAGCATTATTCACAGCTGTCAATATTGAGAACAATGCTTTTCAAAATATCTTTACATTTACCAATGCATTACAAAAGTCCATCTATAAATTCCAGACATCTCTCCACATTCAGTACTCCATCTGTTCTATCTTCCTCTCTCAAGAATCCTTAAGGTTTCCCTTTGTTTATTTTTCTTTCTTAAGAATAGATTTTCTATCCTTTCACCTTTCATTTATTGCTATTTTATTGCAATGGCAGATTCAAACTTTTTTTGGTTAAATGTATTAAAACTTTATGTTTGTATATTAAACATCACATAGAAAACCCATGATATATGGAGTAGAGATGTTAACAACAGACATCAAATTTAGGCCATCTTTAATAGTTCATATCATATTTTTATACTTTTCTAATTATGAGCAAATATTATTCAAAAGCATTGATAACATTAAGTAATGACAAGGAGTCAAATGTTTGTTTTGTTCACCTTCTAAATTATTGTTTGTATGCATAATTTTAAAATTTGTGAATGTTTTAAAACTCCCCCATATAATAAAAAAGTTAGAAAAATTATCTTTAGTGCTCAAAGTCATGAAATATAAAACACATGTTATAAGATTGATTAGAACTAAAGTTCTCATCAAATTATTGAGCCCAAAATAAAGAGGAAATATTGAGCAAAAATAGTTGAAGAATTACAATTGATAATTCTATTCAGTTTAATGAGCTCCGTGCAAAGAGTGATAAAAAAAATTTAAAGGTGAAATAAGTTTTATAAGAATTAAGCTGTAATGTAAAAAATATACAGAGCATATAGACCTTAAAAGCAACTAAAAACTCATATTAAATCTTGGCAAATGTGCTTTTATTATGCTTTAAAATAAAATGAGGAATAAGTAAAATTAGTTATACCTACATCAAAGTATAGAAGAATACTTGAAATCAAATTGAGCAAAAATGGTTAGAATTGTAGTAAAAAGAATGTAAAAAGTGTTAGAACAAGAATCATAGACTTACATCTTAGTCATATTTTTTTGATATTAATAATATTGTACTCCATATATTCCAATATTAGCTCAATTGGAATATAGTTCAACCACTTTATGTTCAACAAAAACAAAATAGCAGAAATAATTTTATGTTTAATTACTTTATGTTAAATTTATGCATACTCCTACTGATCCAGACATGTTAAAACGTGGAGACCAATATACCTTCAATATTTAAAAAAAAGGTATATTATACTTTGGAGATTGTATCTTAAAATGCATGAAATCCAAAATATTGATTATTAAACAATGTAAAAATGTTAGATTAAGTAGAAAAGGTCTTTAATAAGGAAAATATGCAGACCGATTAAATGTTTCAAGATTGGGTAATAAAATATCTTAAAATATTTTCAGCAATATGCAGTTCTTTGTGTAGTTAAATGTGTGTGTGTGTGTGTGTTTGTGATAGATTTAAAATATGAAAAGATCCCAAATTGCATCTCAAACAAGGAATCTAAGAAAAAGTTCAAATAAGGGATCTAACAGAAAATTTATTCTAAAAATTTATGGCTGATTTTAAAACTATTTGAAAAAATTTACATGCGTGTACAGATTATCACAAATCTATGTTTGTTGGAATTAAAGCCATATTGTGTACGTATATGTTACATATAAATGGTTAAAAGCATCAAAACTGAGTTGCATGTTATTTCAAAAAAAACGGATCTAAAAAAATTCCACACGATGGGTAAAAGGAAGTATATACAATTCATAAAATCAGAAATACGATGGGAAATACCAAGATTCATGGGTATTACAGAGGAACGCCCGACGAAGTTTTCGAGTTTAACACCGTCTTCATACCGCAATATGTTGGATGAATGAAGGGTTGAAGATGGGATGGAGAGCTAGCCGGCGACTTCTTCTAGAGAGATGTGAAAGGTCGGAGAAGAGAATGGGACATTACACGTTTGATGAGTAGGACTGAGAGTATAGAGAGAGTTATTTAAAAAGTGGTTCATTTATTGGGAAATTGGGCCTTTTGGATCAGTTTTTTGGGCAGGGAGCATTTATTTAGGAATGTTCAAAATTTGTAGGTAGGTTTCAAAAAAGAAATCAATTTAAATAAGAATAAAACATAGAGAAAGTATTAAAATAGAAATTTTATATTATTATTTCCTAAATAAAAATTAGCACTTTGATAATATTGCATTGTAGATGTACATTTTATTATACTTTTTGGCAATGCACATAATCATATTTGGTAATATAAATGTATTTTACCTCCTATTTTTAAAATAAAAATATGAAACTCCAATTTTAGATTTTTTTTAATATTTTACTTCTATTTTAGTCTTTTTTCCCTGACTAAAAACTAATAATTGAAAGACTATATTATATATCGACTATTAAAATATATTTTTTTCCTTTTGAAGAATTATTTAAATATTTACTAAATTGATTTTTTACCAAGTCTTTTTTTTTTGACATCAATACTTCTCTATTTTTTTATGTTGTTTTTTATCCAAGCCATGTATGACAATTATTTTACAAAGTATGAAACAAGTTACTTTTTTATTGCACAATCATAGCAAGAAATTAAAAGTTTTGTGAGTTCATGTTATTAGTGTGCAAGAGTAATCGAGATCCAAATGATTTGAAAATATGTTGGAAATGCAAAAATGCATTTGGCCATTTCTCTTGCTTACAAATTGGTCACGTGGATATGAGATTGGTCGCACCACCTATCATGTTGTTGAAAAATATCGACCAAACAATAGATTTGTACAATGGAATAAGATTGATAGTAACTTGATTAGGCAATCATGTTCTTTAAGGAATAGTCATGACAAGGATTAATATTGGTCAAAAAGTTCTTATTCCACGGTTGTCGCTTCCACAATTAGATGCAAGACTTACTTTTAAATTTCAAAGGAAAGAGTCTTAATCATGGGTTCATACGCAATGACAATTAACAAAAGTTAAAGACAATCTTTTTTGCATGTTGGATTGCTACTCAATGAATCAGTATTCAATCATGATTAACTTTATGTTGCAATTTCACGCGTTACAAGCCGCCAAGAGTTAAAGATCTTGATTTGCAATAAAGACCTTCCATCATGTAACCAAATTACGAATGTAGTTTATAAAAAAGTGTAACAAAACTTATAACACTTCATATCTACTTTGGTTATTACTGTATACTTTTCTTTTGCTGGAAATTATATTAAATTATGTAATTTTTCAGGTTTTATAACATTTTCCACTATTCCAAACATTGACTAATTATATATAAATTAACAGCCCGTGCATCGCATGGGTACGAGTCTAGTTGTATGAATGTATGGAACACGTATGCTCCACAATTAACTATTCCTTCTATCCGTATTTAGTTGTCAGTTTTCTTAGTTTCGTCTGCCCGAATTAAAGAGTAGGTGTCTATCTTTCTATATTTAATAAAGAAGTCACGAGAATAGTTTAAAATATCTTAGAAATGAGGTATGAGAATTGTTGACATGAATGAGTGACTAAGGCCCAGTTTGGCATCAACATTAGAGATTAGAGTTAGCGTTTTAAAAAGACTATCTGACGGTAGCTTTTAGCGTTAGCGTTTTCAGAATTAATCTGCACCATTAAAATTTTATCTAAAACGCTAACGCTAATCGAAAACGTTGTTCCCAAACAAGGCGTAAGTCATTTGAAGAAATGAGCTTTTTTAAATGAAAAATAGACATGAAGAGAAGTACCTTTAGGCCTCGTTTGGTGAACGAAGAAGAACTAATATAGTACGGAGTATGAATTCTGGAGTTCAGAAGAAATGACATAAGTTTTATAATAATAAAAAATGAAAGTGTTTGAAAACATATGGTTGTTGGTTATAGTCTGAGGTAGCTATCAGTGGGAGGTGACTGACAATGGCGACCGACAAAAGTGGGTGATTTTTAATGCTCTTTAGGTTTCATGAAGAATAGTACATTGGTTAAATTGTTTCAATTATAAGTACAAAATTAATTTGAAAATTGTTTTTTAAATCACAATATGAAAATTGTTAGATAAGTACACTTAAATTTCAGCACTTTGCATATTAGCCCCCAAAAAACACTCATACCACAAAAGGGATAAGACCGGGAAATGGCGACTCTCTCTGCCTCGCCCCTTGGAAGCCTCCACTTACCAGCTAACCATTTTTCTTCCTCCGATCTTCACAAGTAAGCTTCGCAATCAATTTCTCATCCTTCCAATTCATTATAGATTCTACGATTATCAATTCTCCAAATAGAGGAAAATCTCGGATTGATTCATTTCTGTACAAGAAATGGAGTGTTGGACTGATGAACTTCTCTGTTACTTAAGAAATGTCCAGATTTAGTAAATAATAAAAAGCCCTCTAAACTGCCAGAAAGCATATTTTTTTTAATATAAATGAAGAACAATCTAAATTTAAGGAGTTTTTTGTTGTTGTTATTTTACCATCTCTCCTTAAATTTGAGCTATTCGGAAAAGTGGCCAATGAAATCCTTATTGTGAATGACTGGATAAAATGCGTGAATTTATAGTTTTTGGAATGGTGAATTTCGGTGTGAAGCTATGTTCATACAGACGAAATTCGGGCATACAAGCAAAACTAAGGTACACTAAAATTTTCAGCAATTTTCCCAACCCGGGCGAACCATTTTTGATCATGTTTAAGCTCAACCATATTGATCAGGAATCCACTTGTCCCGCATTCGTATGATCAAATAAGTTTTCCTTTGCATTTTCCAAGTTAAACCCAAAATGCGTGCAAAGTATAATTCATCTCAGCCTCTCTTCACATCCTACTTTTTTGTGTGGAATTTTACTGGGTTTGTTGTTTTTTTTCTTTCTTTCTCTGCCTCTTATACATGAAAGAAACTATATCTGCTAAAAAGAAGGAAAGCCATAGAAGTGTACAGCTACTTCATAAAGAATAGGACAACAAACTTGATTCATACGGAGTACTAAAAATACTGAGTCAATACTAGACTTATTCAGCATTAGACTTATTCAACATTACTTATTCTTCAACATTCCCTCCCTTAAACTGAAACGTTGAGCATGTTCTCAGTTTAAGCAGACTCACAAACACCCAACAACTTCCTTAACCTTTGAAAAGCTGAAATCTTCAAAGGTTTTGTCATTATGTCCGCAACCTGATCTTCACTTCTGCAAAAGAGAAGCTCAATAGTTTCATCTCTAGCAAGATCCCTGAGAAAATGAAACCGCACATCAATGTGCTTGCATCTTCCATGAAATACTGGATTCCTCGAGAGTCTTATTGTTGAACTATTATCACAGTAAATCAGAGTTGTCTCTTGCTTAAAATGCAAGCATTCAAGAATGTTCCTGAGCCAAATAGTTTGACAAGCACAACCAGCTGCAGCTACATATTCAGCTTCCGTAGTTGACAGAGTAACAATTGATTGCTTCTTAGAGGACCATGAAACTGCCGTTGAGCCCATCATGAATACATAGCCTGATGTACTCTTCCTATCATCAAGATCACCTGCATAATCACTATCAGTAAATCCATATATTGCTGATTTTTCACCCTTTTTGTAAAGAAGGCCATATCCAGTAGTTCCCTTCAAGTACCGGAGAATCCTTTTTGCTGCTTGAAAATGAGATTCATCGGGAGAGTCCATATACCTGCTGATGAGGCTAACTCCATGCATTATATCAGGCCTTGTTGCTGTCAAATACATTAGACTACCCACAATCTGCTTG